AGCAAACTAGTTTTTGTTTAATCTTACAGAAATTATTTTCCTTAGGAATTATTTTCCTAGGAAAGGACAAGTACTCCACTCAGTGATCAGATTTTAGTCTGACATTTTACAGTGCTGTTGTAGGTTTCTACCAAGTTTTATTTATATTTTACGTCAAATTTTGCTGATTTTAAATTTGGCAAGATTTGTTATTTGGAGTTTTTAGTCGGTAATGTTAATTGACTTTAGCATATGAATCTTTCACACTGATTAGGTGTGTTTTTTTTTATTGATTGGAGTAACATTGATTAATAACATTAAATTTCAGGTATATAATGTTATGGCATCTGTATACTCTATTGTGTGCTCACCACCCCAAGCTTAGTCTCTTTCTGTCATTAGTTGATCCTGTTTACTCTCATCTTCCTCCCTCTACCCCTCTACCCTTCTGCCATTCTGTTCTATCTATGAGTTTTTTGTTTATTTGTTGCTTTTTAAAAAATATCTGACATGGTCCGGCCGGTGTATCTCAGTGGTTGAGTGTTGACCCATACACTAAGAGTTCACTGGTTCAATTCCTGGTCAGGGCACATGCCCAGGTTGTGGACCAGATCCTGTGGGGCATGCAGGAGGCGGCCAATCGATGTTCTTTCTCATCGATGTTTCCATCTCTCCCTCCCTCCCTCTCTCTCTAAAATCAATAAAGAAAGAATGTCATGCTCCAGTACCTCAGGGCCCCTCATTACCAAATACTCCAGTGTTAGCCCAGCACTCTGAGAAAGTAGTTTGGGAACAAAAATATTAGAGGAAAGGAAGTTGTGTAGGGAACATTCCCTAGGCAGAGCTGAAGGGAGGTAGAACAGAAATGGAGGGGAGAGGCTTCTCACAGGGGCGCAGAATAGTCTCAATTGGCTTAATCAATTTTTTTTAGTTTCCCAGAGGCCACACCAACTGCCATTTTTCTACTAATGCTGCCAGAGTAAGGATTTACCCCTCACAGCAGGTCAGTGTCAGTCCACAAGAATAGTTTCAGTGGCTCAGGTAGAACAAGAATAGGAACAGTGTAGTGTGGTGTGTGTGTACATTGTAAGGTTGCCACCTGACTTGTCTTTGGTGATTCTGAGATTTTTGTTTTCTGTGTTTTTGGCTTTTAACTATCTATAGTAAAATATCAGTCATTTAGAATGGTGCCTCTCAAATATTATGTGCACCTAAGGCACCTGGGATCTTGTTAAAATGTAGATTATAGCCTTGGCTGGTGTGGCTCAGTTAGTTGGGCATCGCCCTGTGCACCAAAATATTGGGGGTTCGATTCTCAGTTGAGGCATATGCGTGGGTTGCAGGCTCAATCCCCAGTGGGGGGCATGCAGGAAGTGACTGATGGATGTTCTCTCATACTGATGTTTTTCTCTTTCTCCCTTCCTCTTGCTCTTAAAAACAAAAAAAAAATCAATACAAAATATTTAAAAATGCAAATCATGATCCAGCTGGTCCAGGATGGAGCGTCAGACCCAGCACTCCTGATAAAAATCAAGGTGACATTTTAAAATAACAAGGCCCAGCCCTGGCCGGTTTGGCTCAGCGGTTGGAGCGTCCGTCTGCGGTCCGGAGAGACCCAGGTTCGGTTCCCGCTACGGGCACGCGTACCTCGGTTGCAGTTTGTCCCCGGCCCTGGTTGGTCGTGCGGGTGGCAGCCACTCGATGTGTCCCTTTCACATCGATGTTTCCCTCTCTCTCTCTTCCTCTCTCCCTCCCACTCTATCTGTACAAAAAATGGAAAAATGTCCTCGGGTGAGGATAAAAATAAATAATAAAATAAAATAACAAGGCCCATCTGGCCAGTGTGGCTCAGTGGATTGAGTATTGCCCTGTGCACTGAGAGATCCCAGTTCAATTCCCAGTCAGGGCACATGCCTGTTTCAGACTCTGTCCCCAGTAGGGAGCATGCAGGAGCAGCTGACTGATGTTTCTCTCTCACATGATGTTTCTCTCCCTTCCTCTCTCTAAACAATAAAAACATTTAAAAAATATTTTAATTCATCTTTATTGTTGAATGTATTACAGTTGTCCTCCCTTTTTTTCCCCATTGACCCCCCTCCATCCCAATTCGGCCCCCTTCCTCCTTCCCCACGCTATTGTCGGTGTCTATTGGTTATGCATATATGCATAGAAATTCTTTGGTTTATCTCATTTGCCCTCGCCACCCCTTCCCTTTGAGGTTCATCAGTCTAACAACCAATTTGTACTTCTTAATTCCTTCATCTTTTTCACCCACACCCCCAGCCCCTGCCCACCTGGCAAGCAACAAAAAGTTCTCTGTATCTATAAGTCTGTTTCTGTTCTTCTTGCTCATTTGTTTGTAGATTCAATTGTTGGTAGATGTGTATTTCTTGCCATTTTATTGTTTACATTTTTTGTCTTCTCCTTCAAGAAGACCCTTCAACATGTCATATAATACTGGTTTGGTGGTGATTATTAGCTCCTTTAGTTTTTTGGTTTTTTTTCCTGGTGTTTTTTTTTTTTCCAAATTTTTATTGTTGGATGTAAAATGTATTACAAATGTTCCACATTTTACCCCCATTGACCCCCTCCTCCCCACTCCCGCCCCCCTCCCACTTTTCCCACACTATTGTCTGTGTCCATTGGTTATGCATATATGTTCTTTGGTTTATTTCTTCCCATCCCCCCCACCCCTTTCCCTTTGAGGTTTGTCAGTCTAGCAATGAATTTGTGCTTCTTAATCCCTTCACCTTTTCCACCCATTCTCCCAACCCCTCTCCCAACTGGCAACCAACAAAATGTTCCCTGTATCTATGAGAATGTTTCTGTTCTATCTGTTCATTTTGTTTGTAGATTCCATTGTTGATAGATATGTATTCATTGCCATTTTGTTCATACATTTTATCTTTTTCTTTAAAAAGACCCTTCATCATTTCATATAATGGTTTGGTAGTGATGAACTCCTTTAACTTTTTCTTGTCTGGGAAAGTTTTTGTATGTTCATCGATTCTAAATGACAGCTTTGCAGGATAGAGTAATCTTGGTTGTAGGTTCTTGCTTTTCATCACTCTGGAGATTTCTTGTCACTCCCTTCTGGCCTGCAAAGTTTCTTTTGAGATATCAGCTGACAGCCTAATGGGAACTCCCTTGTAGGTAACTAGCTGCCTTTCTCTTGCTGCTTTTAAGATTCTCTCTTTGTCTTGAACCTTTTGCATTTTGATGATGATGTGTCTTGGTGTGGGCCTCTTGGGGTTCATCTTTTTTGGGACTCTCTGTGCTTTCTGGACTTGTATGTCTGCTTCCTTCACCAAGTTAGGAAAGTTTTCTGCCATTATTGTTTCAAACAGATTTTCGATTTCTTGTTCTTGCTCTTCTCCTTCTGGCACCCCCAAGATGCGAATGTTGGCACACTTGAAGTCGTCCCAGAGGCTCCTTACACTATCCTCATTTTTTTGGATTCTTTTTTCTTTTTGCTGTTCTGATTGGGCATTTTTTGCTTCCTTATATTCCAAATCGATGGTTTGCTCCTTTGATTTACATACTCTATTATTGAAGCTGTTACATACTCTTTATTTCAGTTAATGCCTCCTTCAATTCTAACTGTGTATCCATGATTTCTAACTGGTCCTTTTTTATGCTCTTGAGGCCCTCCCTAAGTTCACTGAGGTTCTCACTAAGTTCATCGAGCATCCTTATAAGCAGTATTTTGAACTCAGTATCTGTTAGGTTGCTTATCTCCATTTCGCTTAGTTCTTTTATTGGGGTTTTGTTCTGTTCTTTCATTTGGGACCTGTTTCTTTGTCTCCTCATTTTGGCTGCTGCCCTGTGTTTGTTTCAGTGTATTACTTAATGAGAGGTATGGGGCTCGCTGAAACCAGATGCTGCTCGTTTGAAAGAATTTAGGAAAAACCCGAAGCAGGGTCCAAGACCGGCCAATCTCTATGGTTAAGCAAGTGGCAACAGCTTGGGTGGGCTTGAAAGTTGGGTGGGGCGGGGCCTCAGGGAGTCAGCAGGGCGGGGCTACCAGTGTGAGCCAGGTTGCTGGAGTCCCAGATATGGCGACTGTCTGCCGCCCCAGGGAAGGGCTCACCAAAGGAACAAAGGCCTCTGACAGCACGTTTGTCCCGGAGAAAGCCCCCTCTCCAGTGCCAAACAGCTCAGTTCTTCCCTGTATGTCTCTGGGGCCCCTCGAGCTGCCTCCCCTCCAAGCTCAGAGGGAGAGAGTCCGATAAGTCCGTGCGCGGGCCCTTTAAGGAGCTGCCTGGGGCTCCAGCCGCCCCCCTGAGCCTCAGTTCCTGCTGGTTTTTCCAGCCAGAAGTTATGGGGATTCTCTTCCTGGCGCTGGAATCCTGAACAGGGCACCTGGTGTGGGACGGGGACCCCTCAGTCCTCAGGAAGGACCTTCCCAGCCGAGGTATCCTCCTGATTTTTATCCACCACACGTGGGTGTGGGACCAGCCCGTCTCACTGTAGTCTCGCCGCCGCCCCTCCTACCAGTCTCGATGCAGCTTCTTTAATTCCGTAGTTGTAGGACTTCCATTCAGCTTGATTTCAGGCGGTTTTGAATGGTGGTTGTTCTGTAGTTTAGTTGTAACTTGGATGTGGTTGTGGGAGGACGCAATACTGCGTTTACCTACCCGCCATCTTGACCGGAAGTCTCTATATATTTTTTTCATCCGCATGTGAGAAACTACAAAATTATTTATGCAACCTTTTCAGGTTACCCACACCCTCCCAAAGAGATGGCTTCTGCTTTCTCTAATTATAGCTGGAATTGTCCAGCTTCTCATTGGAGCTGCGGCCCTCTGGTTCATGAATCACACTTGTTCACCTACCCTCATCCATCTGTTTTCAACCAATCGGAACTTCTGGTTCTAGGGCCTGCATGGATATTGTGTTAGTTCTCAAGGATGTGTGGTGACAGTGTAGACAACAACAATCAACTGTGATCACACCACTGCTTTGAGCCTCAGTTTCCTGTTTATTGTGAAAAACAAGACAATAGGCCCAAAATGGAGTTGCTTATGCCAACCCCCCACATCACCAAGCCAAGATGTACAGTCCTAGTTCTCCCAGAAATGGAATCTTAAACCGGTCACCCAGGAATTACCTGATCAGCATTAGTTAGGTGATCTACCTGACAGGCCCATCGGGAAAGCCACACTGCAATAACCAACCTGCTTTTTTGTTACGTTGGGCCAGCTGACGTGCATCTTGCTAGAAGAGCAAAACTCACTCTCCATGGGAAACAGGGCACTGCTCTCAGAAGCTGCAGACCCCCGTAGGAAGCCGGTTGAGCAACGTGCTCCTTCAGTGGTGAGCACCGTGTCCGTGGGGACGGAGGTGGGTGCTGTCTGCTGTAAAGTAGTAACTGGCACGTGGGCACTGACTCTCACTATGTGAGGAACACAAAGTAAGTTACAATTTTTTTTTCACTTTAGGAGCTTAAAGAAATATCAAACCAACTCCTTGACAGCCACAGGGCACTCAATTATCTCAAAGAAAAAATGTATACAAAAAAATGAGAGGCATTTTTTTCTCAAATGACTGTTGAATTTATTTGCTTGATCAATAATGGTCCTGGAAAAAATTAGTTAACCAACACTGAAAGAACTGTAATGAAATACTAAATTTTAAAAATCCATGACACCCTGATAGAAATTAGAGTTTACACAAACAAAAAAAACTCCAATATTGCCAGCAAATATAAAAATGAATGTAATATGACCAACAGGACAGCAAGAAGGCTTTTAATACATTTATATTTGACACCTGATCATATTTTCAGTCACCATAGTATCTTCTCTCCAGGTTTAAAAAAATAGTATGCTGATTTCTATAACAAAGCTTTTTTTTTTTTTCGTACAAAAATCAAATAATGGCCAACAAGTCACAACAGTGCAATAGGTAGAAGATAAAAAACCGCATCAAACAGGTGCTGAAAATAAATACTAACTAGGAGGAGAGGAGAGCCCTCAGGGGAGTTTGTTCTATCACCTTGACTTTGTCCCCACAGCCATGAGAGCTGACCTACCTCATGGGTGCCACTGATTTGGGCAGAGCAAAGCATGACTGAACAAAGCTGCCTGAGAGTTGGCCTCCCAGACCCCGCAAGTCACCAGGGAAGTGGCAAAAGCAAGAAAACAGGATGGGGAATCACAGCTATCATTAAGAGAAAAGGTTGTTTTTTCTATTGCTCAATCTCATCAATTGGGAGTCCACTGGCAGGTTCACTGAGATGATACAGATAATTGAGAAATTTTGTTTAAAAGCATATATATGGCTTATTCAGGCAAAGAGACATTTACATTCTAGCCCAAGCAAGCAATCGAAGTCATTCTGTTGTTAATGGAAGGTAAGTCACATAGAAGATTTCTGGTTTGAGAAACAGATCCTTTGTGTGGACCCCTTAGGTCAAGATACTACCTTGGACCAACCCAGGGAAAAGCATTTGCTCATCAACAGCAATGAGAACCAGAAGGATTGAGGTGACCCCCCCCCCCCCCCAAGCTGGGCCAGGCTGCTCCAGGGCTGGCAGGCCAGCTGCACAGGCAGCTCTGTCTGCGACCAAGTAGGCCATCCTGGTGACTCAGGTGCAATGACTGTTTTAGGACTGTCAAAGGAGAGGATGACAAGAGTGAGTAAAGGTAACCCCAGTAAGAGCCATTCTGGCCAGTCAGGAAACACGAGGCAGCTCCCCATGATATAATCTGCACCAAAAAGGTATAAAAGGCACAAGCAAGAGTGACTAGGTAAGCAGTGACCCTGGAGGGGAGACTGGGGTGAGCCACAAGGCAGGAACAGTATTTACCTTGTTTGGTTCCTTCCCTTGAACAAGAGAAAGAGATCCTGATTCTGCCGTAATAAAAAAGCAAAGATGATTTTTGGTTTAAAAAGAAGCCACTCAAGGGTTAAAACAGTTATTTTAAGTTAACAAAGAAAATTAATCTTCAAATAAGCTATCTGGAAAACTCATCTTTCTCCTACAAGCCCGCAATGCATCCACTGCTTTCTCCTCCCCTGTAACCTGAGCCTGACGCGGAGAAGTTGTATGTGTGAAAGAAGGAAGAGTCTGAGAAGAAAAGACATCTTTACAGAATGTACAGCAGAGAGTTGTGCACTCTGACTCTCGGGATTACAGTAAGATGCACAGGTCTTGTTGGGTCTGAAGGATCCCACAGCCCACAGGATGCTCAGATGGGTGTCTCCTTCCTGTCTCTGCTTGGGGACGGCTTGGCTTGCTCCTTGCCTGCCTTTGGCTGCTCTTTAGTTGCTTTTGTCTCCGGGGCGCTGTCTCTAGGAGGCTGGATGGCACCCCCACGCCTCTCGGGCTCCTCATCATCCTGTCCCTGTGGCTCGGACTTGGCTCGGTGCAGCTGTAGCAGGCGGAGCTGCACCCGCAACTCGATGATGGCCTCTCGCTCCTCATGGATTGCTTGATTCAAATGATTGTTCTTTATCTTGAGGAATGACAGAAAAGAACCACTGTCTCTCAAGAAGGTCAAAATGATTCCCAAGCAAAGAACAGTTAGCAAGGTCATCTACCCTACATAAGAATCTATTTTTGTTTTAGTCCACTGGGTTGTGAAGTGAAAGAAATGAACATGAATATGCAACTGAGGCACATAAAAATTCAAGACAGAAATTATTCCTAAATACAAAGATCATCTGGAGAACACAAATGTACCAATAGAAAACAATTATTTTAATAAATTAAGGGACTGTGGGATCCTTCAAACCTTAATAAATTAAGGTTTCTAGAGTTTAAAACAGATTTATGTTTTGAACTGGTCCCTGACACAGCCCTGAAATAAGGGGAAGATAAAAGCAACTTTAGTAACAATTGGGGGGAAATTTGAGACAGGACAAAAGCCTAGCCTTGTCTCAAAAGCATGTCCTTTGTCTTTTGTGAAAAGCATTCTTCACATCTGAACTGTGCCACTATCAGTTCTCAATGATCTACACTTGCTCAGTGAAGCTGAGGGAAGAGCACAGGAGGCGACCCCTTCCCTCCGAGGCCTGCTGCTGGCTGCACGGCCTCTCCCTCCTCCGCACGCGCCATTTCTCAGCCTCCCAGGCAGCTGCTGGTAACTGGGTACGAGTGGAAGCTTGGGTTCCACCTGTGCATCTTGCCCCTGACAACTGGTGTTCCTTGATTCCTTCCCCGTCCTGCTCACTAAGAGTGCACAAGACTTACAGCAGCCACTTGAGACTGCACTGAGCGGGAAAAACCTGGGTGTCTGCTAGATAAAACATAACTATCTTGTTCAAACCATGAGAGTATTGTCTTTGTATCCCAAGTACTATGGTTCTGGAATATGTTTTCCTACTTAGGATGTTCATGTGATCTAGAAAATGTTAAGAAAACAAAATAAGGTGCCAACATAAAACCCCTCTGAAGAATGGAAGCCACCTGGTGGCCTAGGTCTCGACTACCAGTCTGCTCCTCCCCCACACCCCTGGCTATAGCAAGTGTCAACCTTGAGCCTTGGTGGGCAGCCTCTGCGAAGGAGGAGTCCTCTGTGGAGAGGACTTTGTGGGTGGTGGTTTTGTATGGAATTCATCTAATTTCTATGAGGTGGGTAGCTCTGGTTTGCCCCAGGAGCTGAACGTACCTGAATGAAGGATACAAAGCTGTTTCACAATCTTAGATTCCTTTCTAAGAGAATAGCCTCTCTCCTGAACCTTTAAACATCTGGAGACAATATAATATTTGGGGTAAAAAGGGAAATTCTGATGAAGATCATTTAATTTTGTTGTTGTTTTTTAACAGCACAGTTGTCTCCGTTTCCTAGTGCCAAGTTTACTCTCACCTGCTGCTCTGCAGATTAAGGACCAAGAGAAAACTTTGTCCCTCATTTCTCACAAAGGGAGATTCAGGAAGTTTTTCCTTCTTGCACTAGCATTTCTTTTTCTGTTCACCTTCTTTGGGATTTGGGAACACAGACCAGATCACTCAAAGCTGCTCAAACTGGCACAGTCAGGTGAGGCTTCACCCCTAAGTGGGAGAGGAGGTCTATGTGGTACACTATAGTCGGGAAAAGTCACCACACCTCAGGGACAGCCTGACAAGGCCACACACGTGCCATGTGCTTGGGGCCAGCAGTCAGCTTCGCCCTGCATGCTCTTTAGTAAAACATCCACCGAAACTCCTCTCTACTCAGCCTTCCCAGTTGGTTACCAAGGAAAAGAAAAATTCTAAGGGGAAATACATAGTTGCTACAACTTTCTAGAAGTTAATGTGATTTTTGGTTATTTCTCCCCAAAACTCACTTCTAGCTCTTCATTCTGCTTCTGTAAATCTTCCAAGATGATCTGAAGCTCCTCTTCATCTTCACTCTCACTTTCACTCTCGGAGGAGTATTCCTCGGTCTCACTCCGGCCGTGCTGCTGACGACTGCAAGGTGAGGGGGTGAGGAAACTTTACAGGTAACTACAGAAAAATGTGCTTGTCTGTTACCTTCCTTCTTTTAGATTCACCAGGTTTTCACAAGTCTACTTAATATAATACCACTTTTAACATTTAATAAATAAACTTAGGATGACTAATTTTGTATGCCTAATTCTTTTATATTAAAGTCTGAGAGCTGAAACAATTATGCTTATATTTAAGTAAACATTCTTGGAAATTTCAAAACACTTTGCCTTTCCTTTACCTCTGAATTTCAGCAATCTCAGCTCTGAGGCGTTCGATCTCTTCTTTTTCTGAGGCAATCTGTCGGCGCAGAAACTGCTCCATGGCTAGAAGCTCCTCCTGTTCAGTCAGGATCTCATTCTCCTAAAGTAATGATTATGGTGAACACCTCTGAGAGTACGAGCTTAGGGCATAACACTTTGGGGGGGGGGGGGTCTCCTATGTTGCCTTGAATTCTTTAGCCCCATACACGTAACACACAAGTTATGGTGAAGCTTGTTGTACTGCATAACCAAAAAACATCCCGTTTCCTTATTGTCAAGAAAAGGCTCCTTTGAGAAAAGGCAGACTAAGTTACTTGGGAGGAATGATTATATTTTTCTCAAAATATAAAATGTCACTTATCCATGTTCTTGTTTTTCAAATGCTCCTCTGGGGCCTGTACACTGAGCACAAACCCAAAGTTCAAGTTTTTGCTTCCCAGGTCTTTCTGAATGCCATCCCACTTCTCAATAGCGGGAGAGTCTATTTTAGGGCCAAGGTGGCCTCCAACAGTGTCATTGAGAAAAGAAGAACCCAGGAGATGTACAGCTGATGTCAGCATCACCTTAAAAAGCAGACCCTGTGAGCCCTGGCTGATTTGGCTCAGCGGTTGGAGCGTTGGCCTGCGGACCAGAGAGTCCTGGGTTTGGTTCTCGCTAGGGGCACGTACCAATAAATACATACATACATACATACATACATACATACATACATACATAGCAGATCCTGTGAAGGGAAGATGTTTACAGAAGAAATCTCTTCTCACCATAAGACACCATCCTCTTCAAAGCACACCCTCAGATAAAATATTTAAACAGTAAACCTTCTGTTTTAAGAGAATATGAATTTCTAACCCTGACCGAATCACCAAAGGGGAAAGATCCCTATCTATCCAAGATCTAGCCCCACCAACATAAAGAACAAATATAGACAAAACTTAGGATGTAACAGAAATGTAAGGCTACAGAAATGAGAGCTAAACGCAGATAAGGTCCACAGCCTTTCTTTACAAACTAATAGGTACCAAGAGGATAAGGCCCTGTACTCAAACTGAAAGACACTATGGTCACGTTCTAAGGTGAGGAATCTCTCGGAGATGTAATATGCAGTATTCCTCATGTGTTTCTAAACAGACATGTTTATGTTCCAAGAATTATCAGATTGAAAAATTCTGAAATAAAGGCATAATTTGGGATTTCATTCTCTCTTCAGGGGAGAAGAGTCATGTGCTCCTGCTAGGCAAAAAAGTATTTTTAAGAAGTGAGAGAAAAGGACTAATACTTTATAGACTTTAGTATCCTACATACATGGGTTTTGGAAGCACAAGCTATTTTGTCAGAGCCTAGACCTTCATTCTTTACTGGTTAAACTCTGGGAATTTCCAGAAGAGATTAAGGCTGACTTGAGAAAGTCAGAAAGGACAAAAGGAGCTCATTTTCAGCAATATTCCTGGAATAGATATTCAAGAGCTATCTGTCAAATCAATGAATGAAAACTACAATTCATCAACAAAGCTGATTTTCACCTGCAAAGAATAAAATCAAAGTATCTAAAAAGTGCTACTGGCAACAACTGTCTGTATTGGTACATTTCAAGGATCCCAAACTTTGTGATGTCAGGAAGAACATGTTTTAAATATTTATTAAAATCTAATGTCCCTAATATGAAACAAGTACCATTAATCTTTAAATTAAGGGGGAAACTTAAAATTCAGACCTATGTGGACAAAATGAGATTAGGAAAAGCATCTAGAACAGTGTTCAATAATCATTCAGTAAAAGATAGTTTCTCCAGTTGAACATCAAAAAAATTTTAATAATGTTTTTATTGATTTTAGAGAGGGGAAGGGAGAGGAAGAGAGAGAGAAACATCAATGTGAGATATATTGATCAGTTGCCTCCCATTGAACCTGGGCATGTGCCCTGACCAAGGAATCTAACAAGTGACTTTTTTTTTAACCTTTGTGTGTACTTTTTTTAATTTAATTTATTTTTGTTACAGATGTTTTTCCTCGAACAAGTGACTTTTAGTACATAGGACAACGCTCAACCAACTGAGTCACAGTGGCCAGGACTCCAGTTGAACATTTAAACAAACACCATACAGGGTGGGGCAAAAGTAGGTTTACAGTTGTTCATATGGAAAATACAATGATTAACTAACAATAGTAATACAAGAATAAACTGTTTCATGTACTCACAACTATAAACCTATTTTTGCCCCACCCTATATAAAGGTAGGGCAAACATCAGGTAGAGTCTCTCTAAAACCTCAAAATCATCTTGCAAGTTTGGTTAAAAGACTCATATCTTTGTAAATGAGCTTCTCAAATTATAAGATGACCATTAAGAGTCTTGCAACACACTCCTGAATAACCAATGGGTCACAGAAGAAATCAAAATAGTATCTTAGACAAATTAAAATGGAGACACAACATACTAAAACATCAGATGAATAAAATTATAAACGAAGGGAACATTACAACTGATACCACAGAAATAGAAAAGTGTTAAAAGAGACAACTATGAACATTTATACACCAATAAATTGGATAACCTAGAAGAAAAGGATTAAGTTCTTGGAAACATACAACCTACCAAAACTGAATCATGAAGAAAAAGAAAATCTGAACAGACCAATAATAAGTTAGGAGATTAAATCAGTAATAAAAAATCTCCCAACCAATGAGACCCAGACCAGATGGTTTCACAGGTAAATTCTACCAAACATTTAAAGAAGTAATGTCAATCATTCTCAAACTCTTCCAGAAAACTGAAGGGGAGGTAACATTCCCAAACTCATTTTACAAGGCCAGCATTACCTTCATACCAAGAACCAGACGAAGACACTATAAGAAAATTAGTCCAATATCCCTGATTAACACAGATGCAACAATCCTCAACAACATACTAGCAAACCAAATTCAACAACACATTAAAAAGATCAGATGCTATGATCAAGTAGAATTTATCTCTGGGATACAAGGATGGCTCAACATAAATGTGACACTCCACATTACAGAATAAAGGATAAAAATCATATGAACATTTCAATTTATGCAATAAAACAACTGACAAAATTCAACTGGAAGTCCTAGCCAAACTGATTAGACAAGAAAAAGAAATAAAAGGTAACCAAATTGGAATAAAGTAAAATTGTCTCTGCAGATGATCATGAGCTTATACACAGAAAACCCTAAAGCCAGTCAGTGTGGCTCAGTTGGTTGAGCATTGTCCCATGAACCGGTCTGATTCACAGGGCACAAAGCCAGCGTCACAGGCTCGATCACCAGTAGCGGGTATGTAGGAGGCACATGATTGATATTTCTTTCTCACTGATGTTTCTCTCTCTCTCTCTTCCTTTTTCTGAAATCAATAAAAAAAACACTTTTTTTAATGAAAGTAAAAAAAAAGAAAACCCTAAAATCTCCACCAAGTAACTGTTAGAACTAATAAACAAATTCAGCCAAGCTGCAGGATACAAAATCAACATTCAAAATCAGTTGCATTTCTATACACTAACAACAAACTATCTGAAAAAGAAATTAAGAAAATTATATTTACAATAGCATCAAAAATATTTGGAATAAATTTATCTAACAAGGTGAAAGATCTATATACTGAAAACTATTAAAACACTGATGAAACAATTTAAAGATATAAATAAATGGAAAGATGTTCCATGTTCATGGATCAGAAGTAGTAATATTGTTGAATTGTCCATACCACTCAAAGCAATCTATAGATTCAAGGGAATCTCTATTAAAGTTTCAATGGTGTTTTCCACAGAAATAGAAAAACAATCCTAAAATCCATACAGAACCACAAAAGACCGATAAATAGCCAAAGCAATCTTAAACAAAATGAGCAAAGTTGGAGGCATCACACTACCTGATTTCAAAATATACTACGTAGCTATAATAATCAAAACAATATGATACTGACATATAACCAGACATACAGACTAATGGAGTAGAACAGAGAGCCCAGGAATAAACTGATCTTTGACTAAGGTGCCAGGAATATCCAAAGAGGAAAGAACAGTCTTTTCAAGACGTGATGTTGGTAAACTGGTTTTCCACATGCAAAAGAATGAAACTGGACCCTTATCTCACTCTATACATATATACATTAAAATACACACACATTTTTATAAACAAACTCAAAATGGATTAAAGATTTCTTTATTATTTTAATTGATTTTTCTTTATTGATTCTAGAGAGAAAGAGAGAATGAGAGAGATAGAAACATCAATGAGAGAGAACATCGACTGGCGGCCTCCTGCATGCCCTGTTCTGGGGATTGGACCCACAACCGGGGCATAGTCCCTGACTGGGAATTGAACCAGCCACCTCTTGGTTCATGGGTCAACACTCAGCCACTGAGCCACACAAGGCGGACTGGATTAAAGATTTAAATGAAAAGACCCAAAACCATAAAACTATTAAAAGAAAAGACAGGAAAGAATTTCTTGACACTGGTGTGTGCAATTAATTTTTTTATTTATCTTGATTGTCGAAAGTACTATAGATGTTCCCCCACTGACCCCCTCATCTCTACTCCCACCCCCCTCCTAACTTCCCCATACTATTGTCTGTGTCCACTGCTTATGCATATATACATATAAATTCTTTGGTTTACCTCTTCTCACTCCTCCTCTCCACTTCCCTCTGAGGTTCATCAGTCTAACAACTAATTTGTACTTCTTAATCCCTTCACCTTTTTCACCTAACCCCACAACCTGCCTCCCATTTGGCAACCAACAAAAAGTTCTCTGTACCTATGAGTCTGTTTCTGCTTGTTCATTTTGTTTGTGGATTCAATTGTTGATAGATATGTATTTCTTGCCATTTTATTGTTCATATTTTTTATCTTCTTTTTCAAGAAGACCTTTCAACATTTCATATAATGCTGGTTCGGTGGTGATGAACTACTTTAGCTTTTTCTTGTCAGGAAAACTCTTGATATGTCCATCGATTCTAAATGACAGCTTTGCAGAGTAATCTTGGTTGTAGGGCCTTGCTTGTCATCATTTTGAATATTTCTTGCCACTCCCTTCTAGCTTATACAGTTTCTTTTGAGAAATCAGCTGACAGTCTCATGGAAGCTCCCTTGTAGGTAACTAACTGCTTTTCTCTTGTTGCTTTTAAGATTCTCTCTTGCCAGGCTGGTGTGGCTCAGTGGACTGAGAGTTGTCCCATGAACTGAGAGGTCCTGGTTTAATTCGCAGTCAGAGCCCAGGTTGCAGGCTTGATCCCCAGTGGGGGGCTTACAGGAGGCAGAAGAACAATGTCTCTCTCTCATATCGATGTTTCTGACTCTCTAAAAAATCAATAAAAGTATATATTTTTTAAAAAGATTCTGTCTTTAACCTTTTGCATTTTGATTATGATGTCTTGGTGTGGGCCTCCTTAAGTTCATCTTGTTTGGGACTCTCTGTGCTTCCTGGACTTGTATGTCTGTTTCTTTCACCAAGTTAAGGAAGTTCTCAGTCATTACTTTTACAAATAGGTTTTCAATTTCTTGCTCTCTCTCTTCTCCTTCCGGCACCCATATTATGCGATTCTTGGTATGCTTGAGGTTGTCCCAGAGGCTCTTTACACTACCCTTATTTTTTTTTGGATTCTTTTTTCTTCTTGCTGTTCTGATTGGGTCATTTTTGCTTCCTTATATTCCAAATGGATGGTTTGCTTCTTAGCTTCACCTACTCTACTATTGATTCCCTGTAAATAATTCTTTCTTTCAGTTACTGCATCCTTCATTTCTGACTGCTTTTTTTATACTTTTGAGATCCTCACTAAGTTCCTTGAGTATCCTTATAGTCAGTGCTTTGAACTCTGCATGTTAGACTGTTTATCTCCATTTCATTTAGTTCTTTTCCTGTAATTTTGTTCTGTTCTTTCATTTGGGACATATTTCTTTGTCTCCTCATTTTGGCTGCTTCCTTGTGTTTGTTTCTATATACTGGATAGAATTGCTGTGTCTCCTAGGCTTGGTAGGGTGGCCTATTATAGTAGGTGTCCTGAAGGGTCCAGTGGCACAGCCTCCCTGAGCACTCCAGCTGGGCACTTGAGGTGCACCCCCTATGTGGACTGTATACCCTTTTGTTGTAATTGAGTCTTTATTGCTGTTGACAGGTCAACGGAAGGGATTTAATGAGGCTGATCAGCTGCCAAGACTGGCTGTGCCCACTGACCTCTGACTACCTTGAAGGATCAGCAGGAACCCACCACACAGAGCAAGACCTACTTCATCAGGGCTCTGGTACTCACTGAGTCCACTCATTGAGTGTGTCACTTGTGGAGGCGGTTGGGTGGTGGTGCTTCAATGTGGTCTGAAGCTGTCAACTGGGTGTGCTGGCTCTGGGGCAATATCAGCCACTGCCTGTGTTCTACCTGGGGCCACCAGGCATAAGCTACAAAGCGATCTGCAGATGGCTGCTGCTTGTGCTCTGCTTGGAGATGCCCAGGCAAAGCCAAGCTGTGAACCAAGGCTGGGTGCTTCTAGTGCCAGGCCTGGGGCCACTTAGCAAAAAGTATGGGACTCACTGAGGTCAGATGCTGCTTGTTTGAGTGATTTTAGGAAAATCTGAAGCATGAGCCCAGACAGGCCATTCCTATGTAAAGCCACTGGAAACAGCTTGGGTGGGCCAAAAGTTGCGTGTGGCAGGGCCTCAGGGAATCACCACGGCAAGGCAAACAGTGTGAGTCAGATTGCTTGGGTCCCAGATATGGCGCCTGAGTGAGGGAAGGGCTCACCAAAGGAACAACGCCTCCACCAGCATGTCTGTCTGGGAGAAAGCTGCCTCTCCAGCTCTCATTCCAATACCAAACAACTCAGTTCTTCCTCATGTCTCTGGTGCCTTTTAAGCTGCCTCCCCAGTGCTAGCTGGAGCCCAGATGAAGCAAGTCTGAGTAAGTCTGTGTGCTGGTCCTTTAAGAGGAACTGCCTGGGACTCCAGAAGCCTCAGCCTCCCTTGGTCTCAATTCCCACTGGTTTTTACAGCCAGAAATTATGGGGACTTCTCTTCCTGGCTTTGGAACCCTGAGCTGGGGGCCTGATGTGGGACTGGGACCTCTTGCTCCTTGGGGAGGATCTTTATGGCCAAGTATCCCTCCTGATTTTTATCCACCACATGTGGATGTAGGACTAGACCTTCTGCACCTCCATTCCTCCTACCAGTCTTGATGTGGCTTCTTTAATTTTGTAGTTGTAGGACTTCCATTCAGCTCAATTTCAGGAGGTTCTGAATGATGGTTGTTCTGTAGTTTAGTTGTAATTCTGATGTGGTTGTGGGAGGAGGTGAGTACCATGTTGACCTATACTGCCATCTTGACTGGCACAACTAATTTTTTTAGATATGACCCCCAAAACACAGGCAATAAAAGCAAAAATAGACAAATGGAATTGCATCAAAGCAAAAAGCTTCTTCATAGCAAAGTGGTTTTTTTTCAAGAGAGTGAAAAGACAACCTATGGAATAGAATATTTTTAAAACCATACATATGATAAGGATTTAATATCCAAAATACATAAGGAACTCAAACAACTCAATAGCAAGAAAACAACCCAATGAAAAAGTGGGCAAAGGACCTAACACATCTCAAAAGACATACAACTGGCCAACAGATTTATGAAAAGATATTCAATGTCACGTATTATTAGGGAAATGCAAATCAAAACTACAATGAGATATAACTTCACACCCATCAGGATGCAGAAAAAAGAATGCTTGTACAGTTGGTGGGAATATAAATTGGTACAGCCACTATGAAAAACAGTAAAGAGATTCCTCAAAAAATAAAAATAGAACAGTCATACTCCAGTAATCCCATTTCTGAATACATATCCACAGAAAATGAAAACAGGATATTGAAGATATATATATATATATATATATATATGCATTCCCATGTTCACTGCAGTATTATTCACCAGAGTCAAAATAATGAAAAAAACGCCAATCATCAACACATGAATGGATAAAGATATGCATACCCACATGTGTATGTATGTACGGTGTGTACACACACACACAGACACACAGAGGAATATTAACACGTGTATGTATGTACGGTGTGTACACACACACACACACACACACACACAGAGGAATATTATTCAGCCATGAGAAAGAAGGAAATTCTGTCACTAATGACAACATGAATGAACCTGAAGGACATTATGCCAAGTAAAATAAGCCAGACAGGGAAAGACAAATATTTTTATTTTTGTTTGTTAATCCTCACCCAAGTATATTTTTTCCATTTATTTTTGATAGAGTGGAAGAGAAGGAGGGAGGGAGAGAGAAGAAGGAAGAGAGAGAGAGAGGAAGAGGGAGGAAGAGGGAGAGGGAGAGAGAAACATCAATGTGAGAGACACATCAATTGGTTGCCTCCCACAGGATCCCGACCAGGCCAGGAAGCGAACCTGCAACCCAGGTATGTGCCCTTGACTGAGACTAGAACCTGGCAGGCCAACGCTCTAACTGCTAAGCCAAACTGGCCAGGGCAAAAGAAAAATATTGTATGATGTCACCTATATGTGGAATCTAAAAAAAAGTCAAATTTAAAGAAATACAGAATAGAAAGGTAGTTACCAGGGACTGAGGGGTGGGGGAAATAAGAAAATGTTGGTCAAAGGATACAAAGTTGCAGTTATATAGGATGAGTAAGTCTAGAAATTTAATGTACAGGTATAATAACTATAGTTAATAATAATACTATATTGGATATTAAAAATATACTAAGAGTAGCCCTGGCTGGTTTGGCTCAGCAATTAAGAGTGTCAGCCCATGCACTGAAGGGTCATGGGTTCGATTCTGTTCAAGGGCACATATCTGGGTTGCAGGTTCGATACCCGGACCCATCGGGGTTGTGAGGTACGCATCCAATCTATGTGTCTCTCTCACATAGATGTTTCTCTCTTTCTTTCTCTCTCTCTCTCTTCCCCTCTCTCTAAAAATCAATGAAAAAATATCCTCGGGTGAGGATTAAAAAAAAATTTTTTTCTAAATATACACACAACACACACACACACACACACACACACACACACCCTAAGAGTAGATTTCACAAGCTCTCATCACAAAGGAAAAAGTTAACTATGGGAAGAGATAACATTAATTAACTTGACTCTAAAAATCATCTCCCTATGTATACCAAATCATGATGTTGTGTACACCTTAAACACAGAATTATTTTCCCCCAAAAAAGAAGCTTGCAAAATAGAGAAAAAGAGTTTAGCTTACTTGGGCAAGGAGAATATTTATAACTTCTTCATTTTCATTCATTTCTTCCTTAGAAACATCCTCTTTTGAAAGACTGGCTATCTCTTGTGCAATCTTGGTTTCACACTCCTGTCAAGTAAGACAAATGGAAAAAAAAACACTGGTCAGTCTATATGTAACACATATTCAACAAATTCACACCTTTGCCATTCTAGAAGTTTCCTTTTCATTTCCTAGAATTGAAAAAAATAACATTAACAGTCAGAGGAACTATCTGGATGATGGGGATTTGTTAACTGGGCTTGGAAAATAATTGGATCTTAACCTATGGCTACAGTGTGAAACATGTGCAATTCTGGTTAATATGCTCACCATTTCCAGAACCCTTCCACACGAATTACCTTCTGCAATACTTTTTTGGTTGGGGGGAAAGGGTAGATTTTAAGCATATGATTCAATTAGTTTTAACAAATGTGTACAGTCAAGTAACCACTACCACAATCATGACACAGATCACTTTTATCATCACACAAAATACCACTGGGCTCTTCCACTCTCTGCTGGCCCCTGGCAACCACTGATCTGATTTCCATTGCTATAGTTTTACCTTTTATTCAGTTTCATATAAATTGAATCAATAAGTAGTCTTTTTTTATGACTTCTTTCACTTAGCATTAACGCTTTTATGATTCATCTTTTATTGTTTGTATCAGTAGTTTGCTGAGTAATATGCCATGATGTGAATGTACCCCAATTTGTTTATCCATTCACCAGCTGATGAACATTTAGGTCCTTCCTAGTTTTGAGCTATTATAAGTACAGCTGTTATGAACATTTTGTATATGCTCTGTGTGGGTATATGCTTTCTTAAATACCTAGGAGTGGGATTACTGGGTTATATGACAACTATATATTTAACTATAAGAAACTGCCAAACTATTTTCCAAAATTCTGTACTATTTTGCATTACCAAGAACAATCTTTGTATAAATTGCTCTAATTCTTGTTAACACTTGGTATTTTTATTTTTTTTATATTTTTACTGATTTTTATTTTTTATTTATTTATTTATTTTTATCCTCACCCGAGGACATTTTTCCATTTTTTGTTCAGATAGAGCGGGAAGGAGAGAGAGGAAGAGAGAGAGAGAGAAACATTGATGTGAAGGGACACATCAAGTGGCTGCCACCCTCACGACCAACCAGGGCCGGGGACAAACCGCAACCGAGGTACGTGCCCTTAGCGGGAACCGAACCCGGGTCTCTCTGGACCGCAGGCCAACGCTCCAACCGCTGAGCCAAACCGGCCAGGGCTATTTTTACTGATTTTTAGAGAGGGGAGAGGGGAGAGGGGAGAGGGACATCGATATGAGAATGAGACATCGATCAGCTGCCCCCTACTGAGGGGATCAAGCCCAAAACCCAGGCATATGCCCTGATTGGAACTGAACAGGCAACCTCTCAGTGCATGGGATGATGCCCAACCCACTGAGCCACACTAACCAGGGTTACAGTTGGTATTTTTAATTTTAGCCATTCTGGCTGACATGCAGTGGTATCTCATTTTGATCTGATTTTCTATTTCCTTAATGACTAATGATGTTGGGCATCTTTACACATGCTTATTTGCCATCTGTATATCATCTTTGGTACATTGCTTTATCAAATTTTTGCCTTTTTAAAATTGAATCATTATTGTAATAAATGTACCACTTTGGTGAGGGATACTGATAATGGCAGAGGCTATGCATGTGTGTCAGGGAGGGGAATACAGGCACACTCTCTGTACCTTCTTTCAATTGTGCTGTGAACCTAAAATTGCTCTAGAAAAATAAAGTGTGTGTATATATATATGTATATATATATATATATATATATATATATATAGAACTGTTTCATCTTCCTATTAAGTTGTAAGAGGTTTTAAAAAAATATATTCTAGCCCTGGCCAGTTTGGCTCAGTGGTCAGAGGACTGGGCTGCAGACCAGGGAGTCCTGAGTTCGATTCCGGCCAAGGGCATAAACCTCAGCTACAGTTCATCCCCGGCCCTGGTTGGGGACGTGTGGGTGGCAACCAATCAAGGTGTATCTCTCACATCAATGTTTTTTCCTCTCTCTCCCTTCCTCCCACCCTCCCACTCTGTCTGAAGATAAATGTAAAAAAACAAAAATCCTCAGGTTAGGATTTAAAAAAATACACGCACACACAATGCGTGTGTGTGTGTGTGTGTGTGTGTGTATGTAGTTCAAGTCCTCTTCAGATATGTGGTTTTTGCAATATTTTGACACGGCTTCTGGCTTGTATATTCATCTTCTTAACAGTGTCTTCTGAAGAGCATGTTTTACAACTTTGATGAAATGTAATTTATCAAATTTTTCTTTTATACTCCTATTTAAGAAATCACTGCCTAAGCAAAAGTCAGTAAGGTCTGTTTTCTCTTAGAAGTTTTCTTTTATTTTTTTATATGTTTCTATTTATTTTTAGAGAGCGGGGAAGGGGGAGATAGAAACATCAATGTTAGAGATACATCAATCAGCTGCCTCCTGCATGCCTCCAACTGGGGATCGAGCCTGCAACCTGGGCATGTGCCCTGTTTGGGAATAGAACCGGGACCTCTCAGTCCATGGGATGACACTCAATTCACTAACCCACACCGGCCAGGCTCTCCTAGAAGTTTTCTTTAGATCGTAGTATGTGATTCATTTTGAGTTAATTTTAGTATATATTATATGGAAAGAGTCAAGGTTCTTTATTTGCATATAGATACCCAGTTTGTTTCAGCACCATTTGTTTAAGAGGAAATCTTTCTCCCATTGAATTATCATAACATCTTTGTTGCAAATTAACTGCCCTTATATGTGTGGGTCTATTTATGACATTGTATTCTACATGTCTATCCTTAATTACTGTAGTTTCATGGTAAGTCTTTTTTTTTTATCCTCACCCAAGGACATTTTTGCATTTATCTTCAGATAGAGCAGGAGGGAGAGAGGAGGGAAGAGAGAGAGAGAGAGAGAAACATCAATGTGAGACAGACATCGAGTGGTTGCCACCCACATGACCCCAACTGGGGAGGGGACAAACTGCAACCGAGGTACATGCCCTTAGTGGAAACCGAACCCAGGACTCTCTGGTCTGCAGGCTGACACTCTAACCACTGGCCAAACCAGCCAGGGCTCATGGTAAGTCTTAAAATTAGGCAATGTGAATCCTCCAATGTTCTTTTCAAAATTGTTTAGGCTATTCTAGGTCCTTTGTATTTCTACATAAATTTTAGAACTTTTTCATTTTTACAAAGGCAACCTGTTTAGATTTTGATTAGGACTGAATCCAAAGATCAATTTGAGAAAGCCTAGTATCTTAACACTGTTGAGATATATTGCTCCATGTTCCTTAGATCTGTTTTTTCCTCTTTTAGTTAGGTTCAATATCTAATCGTCCACTGCTAATATACAACAGGCTTTTGTATGTCTGATCTTGTATCCTACAACCTTGCTAAATTCACTTATTAGTTTTTTGTTTGTTTGTTTTATTATTTTTAGAGAGGAAGGGGGGAAGGGAGAGAGAGAGAAAACACTGATTTGTTGTTCCACTTATTTATGCATTCTTTGGTTGATTCTTGTATGTGCTCTGACTGGGCATCAAACCCACAACCTTGGTATATTGGGATGACACTCTAACTCACTGAACTACCAGGCTAGGGCCTCACTTATTAGTTTTTTAGATTCCTTAGGATTTTATATATAGCCTTATTTCTCTCCAATCTGTATCCTTTTTTCTCCCTCTTGCTTTATTACACTGACCTAAACACAAACCGCCAGTAAAATGTTGAGTACAAGTGGTAAGAGCAGAAATCCTTGACTTGTACACTCAATCTTAGGGTAAAGCATTTAGACTTTTACATTTAGGTACATTAGTCGTAGAATTTTTCACACATGCACCCTTTATCATGCTGAGAAAGTTGTTTGCTGAAAGTTTGTTTTTTTAAAAATCCTCACCCAAGGATACTTTTTCCATTTATCTTTAGTCAGAGTAGGAGGGAGGGAGGGAGGAAGGGAGACAGACAGAGAGACATTGATGTGAGAGAGACACATCAATTGGCTGCCTCCTGCACGACCCTGACCAGGGCCAGTGACCAAACCACAACCAAGGCACGTGCCCTTGACTGGACTCGAACCCGTGACTCTCTGGTCCATGGGCTGACACTCTAACACCTGAGCCAAACCAGCCAGGGCTGTTTGTTGAGGGTTTTTATCATGAAATAAGTGTTGAATTCTGCCAAGTGCTTTTCTGTATCTTTTGATGTGATCTTGCAGTTTTTCTTATTTTTAATCTGTTACTATAATGAATTATTTACTTCTATTTTTAAAAGTCATTTATTTCCCAAAGTTGAAAAACACTTTATAGAAACTTTGAGTATTATATGAATTAATGATCAGACATGGAAAGATAGCATCAAGAAAAACTGATAATGGTAACCCATCCCTTTCTGTTACTAGCTCTGGTTTATGTCATGATTCCTTCATCTAAGAAATATGTAGAACCTACAACCAAGATTACTCTATCCTGCAAAGCTGTCATTTAGAATCGATGGCCATATAAAGAGTTTCCCAGACAAGAAAAGGTTAAAGGAGTTCATCACCACCAAACCATTATTATATGAAATGTTAAAGGGTCTTTTTGAAGAAAAAGATAAAATATACGAACAAACAAAATGGCAGTTAATACATATCTATCGACAACTGAATCTACAAACAAAATGAACAGGCAGAACAGAAACATTCTCATAGATACAGAGAACATTTTTTTGGTTGCCAGATGGGAGGGGGGTTGGGGGAATGGTTGAAAAAGGTGAAGGGATTAAGAAGTACAAATTGGTTGATAGACTGACAAACGTCAAAGGGAAGGGGGTTGGGAGATGGGAAGAAATAAACCAAAGAACTTATATGCATAACCAATGGACACAGACAACAGTGTGGAAAAAGGCAGGAGGGGGTGGGAGTGGGGTCAATGGGGGTACAATGAGGAACATCTGTAATACATTCAACAATAAAGATAAAAAAAAGAAGAAGAAGAAGAAAAGAAAATCCCTCCTGATCTTTATTTTTTTTTATTTTTATTTTTCTTTTATCCTCACCCGAGGACATTTTTCCATTTTTTGTTCAGATAGAGCGGGAGGGAGAGAGAGGAAGAGAGAGAGAGAGAGAGAAACATCGATGTGAAAGGACACATCGAGTGGCTGCCACCCGCATGACCATCCAGGGCCGGGGACAAACTGCAACCAAGGTACGTGCCCCTAGCGGAAACCGAACCCGGGTCTCTCTGCACCGCAGGCCGATGCTCCAACCGCTGAGCCAAACCAGCCAGGGCCCTCCTGATCTTTAATACCTCCATGTGTTTCCAAAGATCTGACTCAAATTCCCCAGCAGTCTCTGAAAATTATCACTCTTCAACTGCTTCTCATCCTTAGAAAGCTCTGTTTACAGGTACAACCAACCAGAAAACAAAACATCTTTTAGTAAAATAATGTGTTTAAATGAAACATTTCTCTGATACCAGGCCGAAGAATCAGTAATCCAGAACCGAGAACATCTGAATGAACAGATTTCTCATCAGGGACCTTCACTTCGAGAAATGTGTATATATGGTATTTTTAAAAGAAATAACTTAAAAGAGTATATAAAAGATTCCAGCACATTCTTTTTCTATTTTATTATAAACATAATGTACCAAAATAATAAATTTACTCACTTGTCTTTTAGCTTCTCTCAATTTTCTTTTGAGGGCTGTCAAAATTCTTTGTACTTCCCATAATCTTTCCTCTTTAGATAAATCCTTTATCCCACCCTGCAGATCTCGATGTAAACAATTCAAAAGAAACTCCTAGAAAACAATAAACCACACACTTCTGACCATTCACATCTTATCTTAAAATAAAATCATGCAATTTCTAAAGTTGCAGAATCAAGCATTTTTGGTTTTTTCTCTTTTTTTTAATCCTCACCAAAGAATACATTTATTGATTTGAGAGAGAGAGGAAGGGAGATAGAGAAACATAAATGTGAGTGAAAAACACCCATAGGTTGTCTTCCATACACGCCCCAATTGGGGATCAAACCTTCAACCTAGGTATGTGCCCTGACTGAGAATTGAACCCACAACCACTATGGTGTACAGGACAATGCTCCAATCAACTGAGCCACCCAGCCAGGACTCAGCTATTTTTCAATTATCATTAAAGGAAAGAAATAACAGCACAAATTATCTTTTACGGATATGACTGAAAAATCATTCTTATTTGTTTCACCTGGCACTAGGTTCTCATTAATATACACTAGTTTAGTAGTAGTTAATTTACATCCCTTCCCCCAACACATCAACTCTAAGAAATGGGAGCTCAGAGCAGATGAAAAGAAAAGGAAGCAGAGATTTGATCATGTGTATGCAAATAAAAGCTGTAATAATAACCAAATGTAAGGAAGTTTCTTATTTAGTCCTACATTTCTTCCTCAGTGTGCCAAACACACACAGACAACCAAATGGCACTGTTTTCTTCTATCAGAGTAGCAAGTGGAAAGCAAAGGATTTGGGGTCAAATCCTGGTTCTAAAGCTTAGTAACCATGTGACATAAAGTAAGTTATTTAAAATGTCAATATTCTTGCCCTGGCCCATTTGACTCAGCGGTTAGAGCGTCAGCCTGCAGACCAGAGAGTCCCGGGTTCGGTTCCCGCTAAGGGCAGGTACCTCGGTTGCAATTTGTCCCCAGCCCCGGTTGGGGTCATGTGGGTGTCAGCCAGTCAGTGTCTCTCTCACATCGATGTTTCTCTTTTTCTCTTCCCTCCTCTCTCCCTCCTGCTCTGTCTGAAGATAAATGCAAAAATATCCTCGGGTGAAGATAGAAAATAAATAAAATAAAATGTCATATTCCTATCTATAAAATATGGATGATAATAGCAACCTTATTTGGATAAGCTAACATTTTTGGACTGTTTACAACGTGCCCGGCACCATGCTGAGCATTTTTAATGCATTATCTCACTTACTGTAAATTCACATCAAACCTATGAGAGGCCCCATTTTAAAATGGTATCGCTGAGGTTTAAGGAGGTTAAGGGATTTGCTGAAAATGAGTTATTAATTAGAAGCAGAGCAAGAATTTAAAGCCAGGTTTTTAATTTTAAAACATGTGCTCTCTCCATGATATTCTGACTTAATTTGGCATGTAACATGTGCCTAACATAGCTCCAGACATACTTCATTTATTGATTGATTTTTTTTATCCTCACCTAAGGACATTTTTGCTTTTATCTTCAGATAGAGCTGGGGGGGTGAAGATAGAGAAACATTGATGCAAGAGAGACATATCGACTGGTTGCCATCCACACGACCCCAACCAGGGCCTGGGGACCAACAGCAACCAAAGTACATACCCTTAACAGGAACCGAACCCAGGACTCTCTGGTTCGCAGGCCGACGCTCTAACCGCTGAGCCAAACAGGCCAGGGCTCCAGACATACTTTTAAAAATACTCAATGAACAAGAGTTCGTCTTCTTCATCATCATCAGTCTTTAAAAGGGTCAGAGCAAAGGTAGGCTCTTTCAGGGCCAAAGCACAGGCTGAGCTCACACACCTGTCTTCTGATCTCCTCCTTGATGCTCTCCTGGGTCTCTGGCAGTGTGGGCATAGTGGCCATGTTAGACCAGCGAAGAGGTTTTGTCACTTGCTTTAGCATCACATTTCCAAAGAGCTCTTGTACATGTGTAAAAAACACATACAGGACACGATTGCTAATCTTAGAGAGAAAAAAGAGAAAAATATTTGCAAGGAAACTACTAACATTATTTTGTTTCACTTAATCTGTGTCGATTGCATAGTACATCCTTTAATTCTGGGCACACGAATGAAAGTTTTCCTCAATAGTGACTACACATACTTTGCTAATTAGTGGATAATTTAAAGAAGAGAATAGAAAATATGAGTTACGCACCATAAAAACCATAAGGAACTGGAAAGAAAAGAATGCAGAAGATGATAACCATCAATTTATTCCTTCTTAGCACTATAATATTAACTGATTTTTTAACATTTCATGGTCTTTTTTTCATAAGTTATTTTAAGACCTTTTAACACACACACAACTGAATCTGTTGAAGAATATGATGAAAGTAAGAGCACTTGCAGTTGTAAAGCCAAGTTTGAGATGTTACTCCAGAAACAGTGTTTAAATATGATGTTCATATGATAGATCAGGACATTAGGTTGGCTGAAAAGCTAATAAGGAATTGCTTTCTACCTAAAACTTACTCTTACAACACACCTGAATCTTCTATGATACTGTCATCTTTATTACAGTAATATTAAATAAAAATGTAATATTTACCAAATTCTGAAATCCTAATATGAATGATCACAATGAAATCTGAGAAACATTTTGCTTCCAAAGTATAATCAATAAGCAATAAAAGAAGCTTTAGTAAAAGAAAATAAACTCTTACACACTGTATTTAGACAATGACTGATAATAATTTAGTATTACTGGCCCAAAAGGCTTAAAATAAAAAATATAAACATCATCTCATTTTTTTTCCATTTGTATTTGGCCTAAGTAAAATATCAATAACTCTAATGAAAGGAAAATACATGCTCTATACCAGCACCAAGTGAGCAGCAATAAATGAAGGCCAAGTGTTTTTGTTATAAAGAGATACCAATGAACATAATAGCCAATTCCCTGAAATGCCTTCTCAGATTGAGATTCTACAGAATGTTTCTCTAGGATCTATCTTTATGAATATAATCCTCAGCTTAAATCACTAACCAAACAAATTCTAGGTCCCTTTGTGCCTGAATCTGATATGTGTGTGTGATATAATTAGGCAATAACATTAAAAAATAGTTGAAATCTTTAAAATTCTATAGATGAACTCTATAACTCCAGGTACCATGGGCTCCTCTTCTACTAATGACAGACCACTGTTATCAGGAATTGGTTTATAACTCCACACCAAAGACTGTACTAGATTCATATTACATAGCTATAAGATAATGGGAAAATAGTTCATCATCCTCTATGTTGACAATGTCCATACTATGAAAGAAAAAAACAATATTCAAGCTAAACCATTATCTCTTTTTGCTGGTTAACTGCACAATGAAAAGGTTCCCCAGACTCCCCAGGGCACATATACCTGAACAGTTGGGCTGAGCACTATAGAAATGTTCTGTATATTCATTTTTGTTTCCAGTTCTTTCGCGATAACATGGTCCATGTGCACGATCAGCCAGGAAATCAGAAGATAGTTACATTCTGGCAGTTCTTTCAGTAAGCGTTGGAACTCCTGCACTTTCTCATTCTCTGTGCTCCTCCCACAAGCCTCTTCAAAGCGAGGCATAAGCTCTTTGGTAAGCAGATTTTCCGGAAGGTCTCGCAAATACTGCTTCAGCAAACTGGCTACAGTGTTAGGCTCATACTCTTCCAAATTTGGAGACTCCTCTCTGTCATAGGCTGCTTTCAGCTCATCCACCTTTGATTTAATTCCTTAAAATATTCAAATTCAGAGACAAAGAGAATATCGAGAAAAAAAAAAATCAAACAGCTTTTTTTACCCTTTCACCCGCCCCTGGGGGAAGATCTGAGAAAAGCCAATCTGATGATAACAAATCTCTAGTTATGAAGTATTTATCTGTACAGGGTTCACACAATTCCTCTGTATACAAGATAATATGAAAGACTGTAACTGAGGGTGAACTTGACCAAAAGCCAAATGCTAACAGAAACTCAATATTCAGAACAAAGGTCTTAGCAACCACAGACATATTTAGCAAATATGCTAATCAACTCCGAAAAAAAAATTTTTTTAATTTAAAGATAGGTAGATAAAAATTCAGGCAAAAACTAAACTACAAACTAAGCATAAAGTTTTGCTCTACATGAACTGTCAACTGCTTTTTCTAATTAGTCAAAAGACAGACAATATAAAATGCAACTCAGTACATATAAGCATGTTTCACTAAATCGTGGGTAATTATGTTTTTATAAGTAAAAACTGTATCATAAATGCAAACAGTGAGTTCACTATCTAAACAAACTTTTTGAAAATTATTCTCCATTAAATAATCCCCATCTAATTTATATTTTTAAGTTTGAATTCTTTACATATTTCTTAATCTGGAACAGAGCTGGAACAAAAAAAAAAGTAAAATTTGGGTTTCTAAAATCAAATTGTTTTGCTTTTCTTACTGGACTGGAAGAAACACTGACACAAAACTCAAGTTTTTCAAACATTACATAAATTCTGTAAGTCTTTAGTCCAATCTGCATTTAAGTAGCATAATTCAGTGACAGTGACTGCACATAAGAGTACAAAGTAGCTTTCTGTTGTTCGTAATACTTAAAACTTTAGACCAATTATTAGAAACAAGCAATAATTTAAGGCTGAGAAACTGTAACGGCAAATGTGAATATTAAAGTGTCATCTAATCTAAACAACAACTTAATTTATAGTGCTGACATCTGGGCTTTGGCATTCCTTATTTTATGTGAAAACCTTTAATGGCATTATAATAAATATGTAACTTAACTAGCACTGACAAAATAAAATCAGTAACGCCCAAGATAAAATAACAAGATGAATCTCATTTTTGTATAATCTTTATTTTGAGGCAGAAAAGTTAGAAAATAATCCTATTTTATTATTATGATAATCTGAGTGAAACAGTAAATGATAACTTTAACTGAAATTCTTGGCAAAGACCTCTTTCTCACATATATTTTACACATATCTAATTTTTCTCCCAACAGTGCCTACTCAGAAAATTGTGCAAGTGAACAATCAGAATGTGTTTGGTTTGCTGTTATTCTGAAATTACCAAAATGTTTTTCTTTTAAAAATTGGACACTTCAAATAAAGCATCCCAGGTAGAGAAAGAACATATGCAGAATAATATTAATGTATTGAAAAATTTTAAACTTGAACTTACATGTGAATAGGTGAGAATCAAAAATCTCCAGCAGTATTATTATTAGTTTTTTCTTTTTAAAAAGTCACAGCTGTGAACTCTGTAGTCCACAGTGGACCGAATGCAGCATACCGTGAGAGCTTAAAAAGATAATTAACAAAACTGATCAAAGCAGGAGCTCAATTTCCAGGAGTTAAAGGGGACAGCTCAGTTTGAATGCTTTGATACACAAATGAAGAGGAGTTCTGCAACTTTGACTCTCCAAAAGAACACAAACATCAAAAATAGGTCAAAGACAAAAAAAAAATTTTTTTTGTACAAAACTGTAGAAACTCTTCAGAGAAACTTTCACCAAAACAAAATTTTCTTCACACCTACTAAAACCATGTGAAAGAAGCACCTTACATTAGTAGTGTTTAATTCTTTAAAAAATCAATTCATCATAAATTATTCTTAAAAGTCAAAATTTCAAATTCATATAAATGTTTATTTTTATGTTACTAAGGAGTTATAAATAAATCAAATTCAATTTCTAATGTTTATTTTCTATAAAATAGTAACTTTTGAACCAAAATTCTCTTAAATGATGTTACCTATGAGATTATGTAAAGGGTTTCCCCAATTATCAAAAATGCCTGCCCTTTCTTTCTTTTTTTCTTTTTAATCCTCACCTGATGATATTTTTCTATTTATCTTCAGATAGAGTAGGAAGGAGAGAAAGGAAGAGAGAAACATGAACTGGCTGCCTCCCACACGACCCTGACCGAGGCCAGGGACGAATCACAATGGAGGTAGGTGCCCTTGACCAGAATCGAACCCGTGACTCTCTTTGGTCCACAGGCCAACGCTCTACCACTGAGCCAAACTGCCCAGGGCAAAAATGCCTGCCATTTCTCAACAAAACTTAAATATCAAATCTATCTTCTAGAAATGTGTATGAACCAATTAAATGGAAAACTAAGTCTAATTTCTTTATATATTCTAAATGTGTATTACTAACTCATGAAAATATGTGTGACCAACAGTAAATTTTAAGAAAATAAATCACTAGTACCAAGAAGCTGAATTATGAGAATGTAATGACTTGGAACAGGTCTCCACAGGTCAGGACTTTCATCCTATACCAACACAAAAGTCATACTGCTTTGTAAGAAATAAAATTATGCCCTGGCCAGTTTGGCTCAGCAGTTAGAGCATTGGCCTGCGGTCCAGAGAGACCCGGGTTCAGTTCCCGCTAAGGGCATGTACCTCGGTTGCAGTTTGTCCCCGGCCCTGGTTGGGTCATGTGGGTGGCAGCCACTCGATGTGTACCTTTCACGTCGATGTTTCTCTCTCTCCCTCCCTCCCACTCTATCTGAAGAAAAAATGAAAGAATGTCCTCGGGTGAGGATTAAATAAATAAATAAATAAATAAAAGTCATGATTAGACTTAAAAAAAAAAAGAAATAAAATTATTTTACTTTAAATAGTATACATTTTGTTTGATTTCAGACACCCAATATGCATTACATAATTGCCAACTATGAAATTTAAAATTTCAGCCAAGCCGGTGTGGCTCAGTGGTTGAACATCAACCCATGCACCAAGGTCACAGGTTCAATTCCCAATCAGGACACATGCCCACGTTGTGGGCCAAATCCCCAGTGGAGGGCATGCAGGAGGCAGTCAACTGATGTTTTTTGTCATTGATGTTTCTATTTCTCTCTCCCTCTCCTCTCCCCACTCTAAAATCAATAAAAAATATATATATATTAAAAAAAATTTTAATTTCATTCAAATGCAGCAGAGAAAAATGAACAATCAATTTCACTAATAGCTGCACAGAGCTGACAGAAGTATTCACATTTGGGGCCTATTTCATGTCCCTTAGCTAACTCAGGAAATACATTATATAATTATGTCAATAAATGTGTCTCTTGGCCAAGCAACATCCTTAGCCCAGATTTCCTGCCTTCTCCTGCTCAACACTGAGCCCCTGCTCAACACTGAGCCCCTGCTCAGAGAGGGAAGAAGGTGAGAATAAAGCAGGGTCTCAGTAAACCTAATTTAAGTTTCTTTCCATTCTAGGCTGCTGTAATCTGTGATCAACTTATGTGTAAATCCTAATTATAAGGAGTATTTTTAAAAAATCAAACTGTATGGTGTCACCTCAAAAAATTAAAAATTGAACCTCCATTTGACCCAGTGATCCCCTTCTAGGACTATACTCTAAGAAGCCTGAGACACCAATCAGAAAGAATATATGTACCCCCATGTTTGTAGCAGCACTATTTATAATAGCTAAGATCTGGAAACAGCCCAAGTGTCCATCAGTAGACGAATGGATAAAAAAGCAGTGGTACATATACACAATGGAGTACTATGCAGCTGTAAGAAAGAAAGACCTGTTATCCTTTGAGACTACATGGAGGGATCTGGAAAGTATTATCCTAAGCGAAACAAGCCAAACAGAGAAAGACTAGTATCATATGATCTCACTTATTTGAGGAATATAATGAACATAACAGTCTGAGGAATGGGGTAGTCCCAGAGACGTGGAAGTGGGGTACAGATCGACAATCCCCAGAAGAGGGGGTGAAGGGGGAGAGATAAACCACAGAACTTATGTGCATGTATGCATGAACAATGGACATGGACAACAAAGCTGGGGACAGGGCAGGGAGGGAGGGGGAGGGGGGGAACCAGTGGGGTGAAAAGGAGAAACATCTGTAACAAAAATAAATTAATTAATTAATTAAAAAAAAAAAAATCAAATTGCCAAAACACACACACACACACACACACACACACACACACACTGGGGATTTTTGTTGAAATGAATAATCGCAGAAATAAATTTTGGACTCATGTCATAACTTTCCTCACAAGTTAATATTTGTTCTTCCTTTGAAAAATAGATGCAATATACAGATGATGTATCACAGAACTGTATACCGGAAACCTGTAATTTTATTAATCAATATCACCCCAATAAATTTAATTTAAAAAAGATACAAACAAAAAGAAAAATGGAAGTGAAGTTAATTTTTAAAAAGCACCAAGTGTGTGTCCCCAATACCTGAAACTCTGTAGATGCCTTCACACTTCATGCCATACTTCTCTACATAATCTACACATTCACGGAAAACTGCCGGTAGTCGAATGCCATCATACATCATGGTCCTCTCTGCTGCATCAGCCAAAGGAATTCCAAAAATGGGTCTGAGATTCGGAACATCAATCTGAGGCACCTCTGGCTCCTGAATTGGCTTCTTCTTTTTTTTCTTTTCTTTCCACTGTTTAACAACATCAGCTGCTGTCAAGTCTTTTGACTTCTTCTCTTTATGTTTTTCTTCTTTGTGCTTTTCTTCTTTATGTTTTTCCTCTTTGGGTTTCTCTTTTATTTTAAAATCCTTCTCTTTCTTTTTAGAAAAGCTGGGCTTCTTGAAAACATGGATTCCCTTGGATCTCTTCATTTTGGAAGGACTTTCAGCTTCATCTCCAGAGCTATCCTCCTGAAAGGCAGCATAGCCTTCAGCTGCCAAAGAAATGCAGGAAGTGTAAGTTATATGTTTGTTTAATGTCAAACTGTTCATATGCTTTTTAAATACGGAACAAAAAAAATGCCACCCTGCCCTGGCCGGTTTGGCTCAGCGGTTAGAGCGTCGGCCTGCGGTCCGGAGAGACCCGGGTTCGGTTCCCGCTAAGGGCACGTACGTACTTCGGTTGCAGTTTGTCCCCGGCCCTGGTTGGTCGTGCAGGTGGCAGCCACTCGATGTGTCCCTTCACATCGATGTTTCTCTCTCTCTCTCCCTCCCACTCTATCTGTACAAAAAATGGAAAAATATCCTCAGGTGAGGATAAAAAAAAAAAAAAAAAAAAAAAAATGCCACCCTGCACTAGCTATCTTCCTGTTCACACTATGGACAATCCCTCCTGGTTACTTACTCCTAGCAAAAAATGGGTTTCCTCTCAGCTAAAATGAGATGTTGCAGTGATATCTCCTGACCACAAGAGGGCAACACAGAGAGAGCTAGTAATTCTTGCAATAGCAGGTGGTGAAAACTTTTTATATTATATGTATTTAAGTGCAATTTTGGCTAATCAAGTATTACAAATACACAAGAGGTTCTACACAGAGGGCTAATGAAAAGAATCCTATACAGTAAAGCATTCTTTTATCATCGGAACTTACTTTATTTAGCTTAGATTTTTTTCACATTTGGTTCCTGTAATTTGAGTCAATTTCAAACCACGACAGGAACGTACTGCTGTTTAGATGCTCCAGTCATTCCCCTGTCACAATTTGCTCTCCTTTCAATAGCTGTTAAGTTCTTTCTGAAGACTGCATCAGGGAGTGAAGCCTCATTTGGGCGACATACAAAATCAGGAAATTCTCTAATCTACAGAAGGTGGTCGAATGAATCCATCAGCCTACTTCCCTGCATTAGAAGACCTGGTTTTCTCACACTGACAATTGCTTTTCATCATATCAGAGTTATCCTGGTTTGGTTTGGTTTTTTAATACGTATAATTCCCCTAGTCTTTTTTTTTTTTTCTAGCTAGCTACTTTATTTTAAAAAATTAAAGTTTTTCATAAATAACTCTCTAATTAAAATACCATAAACCCCACAACCACCAGGATGGCAGATATCTTAAGGGCTACTACTATGATGCACAGCAACTTGAGTTCTCAAACATTGCTGGTGGGAGTTAAACTGGTATAACCACTCTGGGAAATGGTTTTGCAGGATCTGCTAATGCTGAAGTAAGCATGTCCTGTGAACAAGCAATTCCACTCTCAGGCATATATACAACAGAAATGCATAACCATGTACAATGATGTTTATAGAAGTACTATTCATAACAGCCACAAACTGAAAACAACTCAAATGACTAGTAATAGTAGAATGGATAAACAAATTCTACTATTTGTAGTACATTAACACAATGAAACAAAATCCATCTATAAAAAATGAACAAATTACTGCCATATGAAATAACATGGGTGAATCTAACAAACATAACATTGGGCAAAAGAAACTAGACACAAAAGGAAATCTGCTTCCATTTACATAAGCACAAAATCAGGCAGGAACAAGTTATGATGAATGAAGTGTACCTTTGGGAGGGGTAGGAGATTCCCTGTGCAGGGGCATTAAAGGGAATTTCTAGGGTGCTCATAATGTTCCATTTCCAGATCCTTGTAGTAGTCACACAGAAGCATCCATTTTGTGATAACTCATCAAGTTGTTCACAATCTATGCACATTCTATCTGAATGTCATACCTCAAAAATAAATTATCTTAGCCCTGGCCGGTTTGGCTCAGTGGTTGGACTGTCAGCCCACAGAACAATGAATTGCGGGTTCGATTCCAATCAAGGGCACGTACCTTGGTTGCGGTTTGTCCCTAGTCCTGGCGGGTTCGTGCAGAAGGCAACCAGTCGATGTGGCTCTATCACATCGATGATTTCTCTCTGTATCTCTCTCTCTCTCTCTCTCTCTCTCTCTCTCTCTCTCTCTCACCCTCCGACTCTATCTGATAATAAGTAGAAAAGTATCCTAGGGTGAGGAATTAAAAAAACAAAACAAAAATAAATTAACTTAAAAATACCATAAAACTCAAAATAAAGCAATACTTAATAATATAACTCACTTGATTTGCTTTTAATGTACTAAAGATCTATGCTTAAATCCTCCCTATAAATAAACGCATCATGGCCTTTGCTTAAAACAAATGAATAACTACTTTGTCACAGTTCCAATAATTTGTACCCCAGTTGCCTACACAACATAGCCAAAAAGTAAAATTCTATAACAGCAAAATTCCAATATCTACTTTTAATACATTATTTAAAATTACTACTTTAAGATATTTCCACCAGAAAACCTTACCATTTCTAGAAATTCAGCTTTCTTTTGTGTGTGTGAGAGTAAGACCCTAAAATATAAGTCTAGTGTACAAAAATTGAGACCTTGAAAAATAAAGAAAAAGAATATCAAACAGGAGTCTTTGGACATATTTCCAGAAGATAGCAGGTACATGTGACTAGAGTAGACGTTTATCTAATATACATACAGAATGGCACTCACTTCTTTTTTCCTTTTTCTTAAATTTTCCTTTTTTCTTCCCATAGTCTTTTTCATCATCAGACACTATATCAGGAGGTTCATGGAGGCTGTCATGGGGAGGCGAGGGCTCGCCAGTGCGGTACAATCCAGGAAATTTAGTAGGGCTGATTTCCTCAGAGCTGGGGGTTCTGGTAAGACCACTGCCATGCTCCACCCTGCGATGTTCACTGGGGCTGCTGGTAGGAGGCAGGAAGCACTCAGTCATTCTGCCTCCCTGAGACAGTGCAGAGAGCTTCTCTGTTACCTATCCATTACACCTGCACAGAGGGAAAAAAAGATCATCAGAGTCATCAAACACCAACCAAAACACAAAGCACCACATACACACACAACTCGGCAATTAATCTTGCATTTACAAATCAAAAGCATTTTTTCATTAACCTCCTTTTTAAAAAGATGCTTTCCTTTTATCATCTCAAGTTACATTCCATGTATCATATATTTTAGTTCTCAAAGAGTTAGAAGCCCTGGGATCTTCAAGTATCAGAAAAATAAACCAAATGAAAATCAGAGTTAAGAGTACTCAAAGTAGAATACAGAGTTCCTTTTAAAAAGAACTACTGTAACGTGGAAGTGGGGTACAGGCTGACAATCCCCAGAAGAGGGGGTGTGGGGGAGAGATAAACCATAGAACTTATATGCAGGTATGTATGAACAATAAACATGTACAACAAAGGTGGGGACAGGGTGGGGAGGGAGGGGGAAGGGGGAATCAGTGGGGAAAAAAGGAGAATCATCTGTTAACAAAAATAAATAAATTTTTAAAATAATAAATAAAAATAAAAAATAAATAAAAAAATAAAAAGAACTGTAAAGGGCTTCATTTTTATTGCTACCCAATTTAAAATATTAGTTTTTCTTTAAGCTATGACCAAACTATAAATAATAAATTACAAAGACTATTTATATAAGTACACATGAATAGTTCAGTATCAAAACTCAAATTTACAATACAGCTAAAATGATATATTTAATGATTAACACAATTATAGATCATTAACTGCACTTCTATGTTACAAGCAATTAGTCCATGTGTTAATAACTTTTATTTTGCATTGCAATTACCTCATTTGCTCAATTGGTAAATACACACAAATAGTTTTACTAGAATGGACACTACAAAGGACAAATGGTAGTAAGAAGTCAAGGTCTGTTTGCTTTTTTCCCTCTTTAGACCAAGGGTACATACATAGTCAAGTACTGTGTTCCTAGGTTATATGCATTAGTTCTCATGATATTCAATTGAAATACTATTGGAATCACTTGTTTCTCTTTGCACTCACTTTTTAAATTATTTTTATTATTATTATTATTATCCCCACCTGAGGACATTTTTCCATTTTTGTTCAGATAGAGTAGGAAGGAGAGAGAGGAAGAAAGAGAGAGGGAGAAACATCGATGTGAGAGAGACACATCGAGTGGCTGCCTCCCGCACAACCCCAACAGGGGCCGGAGACAAACTGCAACCAAGGTACATGCCCTTAGCGGGAACCAAACCCAAGTCTCTCTGGACTGCGGGCCAACGTTCTAACTGCTGAGCCAAACAGGCCAGGGCTCTGCACTCAGTTTTAAGGTTTTTTTTGCAATTTTAAAAATCCACATGCTGTAAATAACAAGGCTGATAAATCTAACCATAAAGTCAAAAGACAAGCAAATATGAAACAAATTTTGCAGATTGTAACAGCTAATTTCTTTAAAATACACTTCCAAATCAATTAAAATATAAACAAATTCAGAGAACTACACAAAGCACATGAACAAACAGCTCATTGAAAAATGACTAATAACTGTACAAAAGCAATGTTCAACTATAATTCTTAAAACAACATAAGTTACCATTTTTCTAGTATCAGACTGGCAAAGAACAAAATAGGTATATAATAAATATCCAGTATTGGTAAGGATATAAGCAAACAGGGACACATGGGAATATCTACTAATGGGAGAAATATAAATTAACACAATCTTTCTTTAAAAGCAATTTGGTAGCCCTCGCCTGTTTGGTTCAGCAGTTACAGCGTCGGCCAGTAGACCAGAGGGGCCCTGGTTCAGTTCCCCCTGAGGGCACATACCTCAGTTGCAGTTTGTCCCTGGCCCTGGTCCGGGTCATATGAGTGGCAGCCACTCGATCACTCAATCTGTCTCTCTCATGTTGATATTTCTCTCTCTCTCTCTCTCTCTCCCTCAAAATAAATGAGAAAAAAAAAAAAAAAATGTCCTCAGTGAGGATAAAAAAAAGTAAAAATAAATAAATAAATAAAATAAAAGCAATTTGGTAATATCTAACAAAATTTTAAATGTACTCTCTTTGACCCAGGAATTCTTTTAGAAACATTCTTTTTTTTTTTTTTTTTTGCATTTACTTCATATAGAACAGGAGGGAGAGAGGGAGGAAGAGAGAAAGAGAGAAAGAGAGAAACATTGATGTGAGAGAGACACATCGAGTGGCTGCCTACTGCAGGACCCCAACCAGGGCCGGGGACAAACTGTAACTGAGGTACGCACCCTTAGCAGGGATGAACTCAGGCCTCTCTGATCTGCAGGTCAATGCTCTAACTGCTGAGCCAAACCAGCCAGGGCTAGAAACTTATCTGTTAGATATACTTTACAAGAGTTAAAAAATACACACATGAAAATATTCATTTCACCATTGTAAAACCAAAAACAAAATAGTAATAACCTAAATGGCGATTGTGGACCCTGAGAAAAAAGATACCTACTAAGAAAGGCTTCCAATGGCTAATTAGGCTTAATTTTTTTTTTTTTTTTAATTTATTGATTTTAGAGAGAGAGGAAGACAGAAAGAGAGAAACATGGATTTCTTGTCCCACTTATTTATGCATTCATTGGTTGATTCTTGTATGGATCAAACCCACAACCGTGGTGTACTGGGACAATGCTCTAGCCAACTGAGCTCCCCAGCCAGTACTAACTGGGCTTAAGTGTTAAAAAAAAAAACAAAAAAAAACAGGACATAGCAGCCACTTCTACACAGGGTCCTTTCACACACAGCACTTCAGGGAGGAGCCTGTACTAAACTACCACCCTCCCACACTGAACTGCCTGCCTGCACTATGTTCCTGCCATCTGAGCCAGACCTATTAAAGGAGCTCTTGGAATATTTCAATCAACAGGACTGAGGCTTTCCCCCATCTAATCAGAGCTATGCACCTATATCCTTCATCAGCATCACCACCAACCAATCAGAAAGGCTCTATTCTGACCCACCAGGACAGTGCTTTTTGGAGTCCTCATTTGCATGAGGACTGATCCATCAGGGACCAGGGGTGTGGATTTCTGTCTATATTATAAGCCACCTCCCCTCTAACAAGGGGACCACACTCTCCCTTTCCACCCAAGACTAAACACTGTGTTTTCCCAGTGACACATCCCCAGAGCATAGAAGAGCAGGCACAGCAGGGCATTGAACAGATCGGCTCCTGAGCAGAGCTGTCTAACTGGAGAGGGGCCTGGCCCCTGGGCCACTTCACAGCCATGCTGCTTCATAATTGAGCTGTAACACTATTGGGATGTTTGCACTGAATTAAGTTTCTTTCTTCACTGCACCCCAGACAGGTGATTCCTGTTAGTATTGAACTGGCACCAATGATCATCAGTTGACATGATCAATTGATCAATTAAATTACGGTCTATCTAAATAAAGAATATAACATCACACACACAGTTTCTGAAAGTACATGAGAAACAGTTAACCACTGTTAACTTTTGGAAGTGGTAAAAGAAGAGGGAGAGAAAGCTTTTTTTTAAAATTTACACTTTATCCCTTCAAGTTTTAACCTTACCATGTCCATGTATTACTTTTATTATCATTTTTAAAACTGAACAGGCCATGTTTTTTTAATCTTATAGAAAACATGCAGCATTAAAAATCATGTTTTTGACAATATTTAATAATGTGGGAGAAAGCAATTTTATTTACAGCATATTATCGATTTTTAAATATATAAATATATATGCAAAAAATTGTAAGAATAAAAGATTAATAATGATTATCTCTGAATTATAAGATTATAATTGATCTTTTCTGCATTTTATAAATTTTCTACCCAGTATGCATTATTTAGCTCATATAATCAAGGAAAGCATTAAAAATAGGAGAAAGTTCTATTAAAGGATCCACAAGCATCACTGTATTTCTCCTGTATTTCTTGATAGACCCTGACTTTTGGCTATCATTAAAATAAAATAAAAAAGTACATTCTATTCTTTCTTTAATTGAAGGCATCCTAAGTTTTGACAATCATAGGATTTGAGAGTTTAGAGGGAGCATCAGTCCAACCAACATTAACAGTTATACATTACAGATGAGAAAACAGGGCTTCAAAGACTAAGGAAACAAAAACATGCATGGAAGGAGCATAGCTTTACACTACAGAAATAAAATATCTTACAGGCATCTTACATTAAGTAATCTTAGCAAATCCTATGAGAAAGGTAGTATTTTTCCATGTTTATAAACATTGGGACTAAGGCTCAGAGAACTGAAGTAACTTACCTTGAGTCACATATCAAGTAAAAGGCAAAACTGGGATGTGTTTGACTGGAAACACATTCTTTCCACTAAACTGCTCTTCACGTATACATACACAAGAGGGAATGAGTATATTCACGCCAGGAAGAACATCATAGTTAAAGACACAAGCAGAAATAATGGGGGCTTCTTATAAGAATGGCAAGAAGAATGGTCTAATTAAAAGTTTCTGCAAAGGAGCATGGAAAAGATATTGAAAGCAAGGTGGGCTCTGAACTGAATGCCAATTTAAATCCAAGCTAAGCAGTTTGGATTTGATGTGGGAGTTATTACCAATACTAAAGCCAAGCAGTGACAAAACTGGGGCTAAACGGGGTAAGGGCAGGAATATGAACAACAAAATGCCAGAGAGATTTTGATCATTCCCTCCTATGTGTTCCTATAGTATTTGTAAATTATATGCACATGTTCTTGTAGTTCACTAATACCATTATTTAGTTTCCATACTAGACAAATAAAGCTTTGTATATAAAGCACTTGATAAATTATCTTGCAAAAACTATTGTTCACTTGATTCATCCATAGATGGGAATGGTGGAAGAAGAGTGAGCAGCTAAAAGCAGGTATGAAGAATGACATAGCAATATTGAAAAAGAAGAACAAAGTAGCAGTGATCAAAATACAGGATATCAGGTTATACTGCAAAGCCACTGTAATCGGAACAGCCTGGTACTGGTACAAGAACAGGCATACAGATCAATGGAA